GTGCTACCTCTTTCTGTCATGACGTCAGACACTTTGAGCCTGGCAGAGACAAAAACAATATTTAGAGGACAACCTTTGTTAAATCCCAAAAGATGACACAGCAGCTATCAGAGCAATCTAACAAAATCCCCCTTTTAGTCCAGGTCATTACAGAACCTTTCTAAGGTTGAAATCCCGTCCACTCAAAGAATGAAGTGTGAGGATATGTTGAACGTAGTGAGCAATCATTCTCACATTTTCTGACACTCTTTGCGCTCTCCAACCATGAGGTCCCCGAGTTCGCCCAGGACGGTCGCCTCCACCTCGTACTGGACGACGAGGGCTCTCTCCGTCGGGTGGACGTCGACGGTACAGCCCTTCACTCTCCTGGGGGGGGGTCACACACAAACATGGCACTATTTTCAGATACAGATACAACATGTCTGAAAACATGAAGTCATTCCTCTTCTTATTTCATTTACATGTTAGCACAAGAAGACACAGCGTTTTACATTCTCATGGTTTATCTACACATGTTAAATGCTGCAATTACCAACAAAACTAGGAAACAGACAAGAGGAAAAACCAGAAATATAAATGAATAAATAATAACACGAAACAAAACAGAAATGTTTCTCCTGCCTTAAAAGGTTTTAGATACAACGTTGAATATTGAATTGTGTTAAGTGTTTGAGCACAGAGCGTATTTAAAGACTAAATTAAAGTTCTTTATGCTCAGAAATCGTCCACACAAATCATCTGTTACGTCTAATGACTAAACATATTTAATAAAAGGAGATCTCTGCTGGTCAGCCTTTAAGATGTCAGTGAACCTCTCTAACAGAAGGCTTGATAACATCTGTCTTATAAAAAAAGTGTAATGCTCCGTCTTTGAGTAATTTTCAAGAACAATGAATCACATCGTGAAAAATCAGGTCAATGAATGCTCTTTCATTGTTGCTGTAATTAAGTCTCAACAGATGGTCTGTTTACTCAGCAGCCTCTACCATCAGTGTGTGAGTGTGTAGGTGTGACCTGCGGTGTAAAAGAGCTTTGAGGAGTCAGAAGACGAGAAAATAAATATACAAGCTCAAGTCAATTTATCATTTTACCATTTTAATTCTTTACTCGACCCAAATCACATCGATTTTTCTGCACTGCTGAATGGACGTCCCTCTCATTTTCATACATTTTGTGCAGATATCCAGAAAGAAGTCATTATTTTGAGATATTTTTTTTAAAGTTATTGTTTTTAGATAATAAGTCATCATTCTGTGCTAATTAGCCATAAGTGTACAATTTAAGTCATTATTTTTCCGAACTTAACATCGTTTCAGGAAATAAAACTGTTATTTACAGATAAAAAATAAACTATTTCAGTTCATACTTATATTATATTTACTGATATTTAAAGATTTTTTAATATTCTAAGAAGTATTTTTAGATACTCATCATGTTGAGTTTTTTTCTTTTTAATTATTTTAAGATTTTACGTCATTTTTAAGGAAATATTCGCCGATATAAATTAAATAAATATAGATTATGATGATGATTTATTACATTATTATAGATGTTCATCCGTTCCATTGAGAGAAACGGGTAAACTAATACAAGGCGACTTTAATCTGCTCGTTTATTAAATTAAATACATAAATATATATCAACATTATATCTTGTTTTTAACGTTGAGTAACCGCACAGTCAGGGGTTGAAACACCCGGATGAGCATCCCGCTGACGGCTACAAACAAACCGTTAGTGCCCGTTACCTCTTCAGATAGCGAGCGTCCGCTGCCTGCTGGTTCTCCATCTTTGATTAGAAACGATCAAACATCTGATGTGTTTCTTCATGAACGACGACCAGCTGATGCTGACACGGACAGGGCGGATGTTATTGATCTCCTCCTTCTTGTTGCTAGCAGAGCCTTGTGGTTGCTAGGGAGGCGGCACCACAGCTCCCGGCATGCAATGCGAGGCAAGACAGCAGTGCTGCCCCCTGCAGCCCCGGAGGTCTGGTGTAGGACTCACTGTTACAGATTCAGTCCCATAAATTCAGGTGTGTTTGATGATATATTTTAAGGATTAATCTGTATTTAAAGAGCCTTGTAGCACGTGATGGAAATAAATTAGACCTGAGTGTATTTACTAAAGTGACAGAAGAGGATAAGTAAATAAATAAATACAGGAGGGAAACAAAAATGTCGTCTTTCTTCTATTATTATTTTTAACAGAGGACATTTGAGTCAAACACATCTTCATCATCTTCATATTTATTTAGAAAGGAATGTTTCTGCAGATATAATGGATGGACTGGAGGTCACAGAGGTCACCTGGGCGAGTTTGGATCAGATTACTCAGAACACGACCTGAGGTGTGGACTGGAGGTTTGTTGCACTCAAGAAACATGAACGTGTCTTTATTTATCATGTGTGTGTAAATGTTGTCTTCAACAATGTTTTATTTTGAAATCTTAAACTTGTATGAATTTGGATCTTTTTTCCAAACTTACCATCAACACCAGGAAATGTAATCATGTCCACCTACATTTGTAAACCTTTCTGTGTTCTAACCTCTCTCCATTTTTCAAAAGCATCTCCAATATTGATCCTAGTTTGAGCACGTTTCTGCTCGTGGAGCTTATTAGAAACATGCAGAGGCTTTTTAGGTCGGGTACAATCACTTCTATCTGAACCACTTCTCTTGACCGCTTCCATCGCTGCAACACCTGTTGACCTGATAACTGCTCTCATATCTGACAAACAGAGGGGCGTCCAAAACGGCCGTGTGGGGGGTCGCCTTAAAAGCGCCTACCTTCTCTGGTCCAAACAAATCCAGAGCATTCAGGAGCAGAATCTAAAGTTAGAAGGAGGACATACTGGCTGCTGCATTGTTGTCAGAGAAGCCAGCTCTTCAACATGTTTCCTTAATGTCTGATCAGATAGTAAGATACCTTTATCATTTCACTCACTACACATCTTACTGAATGGACCTTTATATTTTAAATACAAATTATACTCTTTTACTAGCGCAATGTCGTGATAGAGTTTAAAGAAATAAATTAGTATCAGAATATTGAGAGAAAACAGAATAAAAAAGAGATTCAAAGTTGATGAGTTGGTTGTTTTGAAAGCATGTTGATAATATCTTTAATTTTAATTAAATAAAACCTTTAATATTCTCATTTCAAGCTTACAAACCATGCAACGAGTCAAAGCGTAAGTGTAATCAATACAGTAACACGGTCGATCTGCTCACCAGAAGATATTTGCACGTCTCAGCAGCGGTCAGGCTCCTCCTCTGTGACAGCTGATGTCACCACGTTAAATTTAGGTTGTGGCTCGTGATGGATATTATTTATGTTAGGGGTTAAAAATACACAGTATTCCCCAGCGACTGAGCATTCGACTCCTGGTGCTACTAGATCCTGTGAAGATCGTCTGTGTGTTGAAGTCATAATTAGGCACGTAGATGAAGTTTCCTGACCAGACAAAGGATAGAATAGAAAGTCTTTATCGTCATTAAACAATCAGACAACAACATTAGAAATGCTTCAACTTGAAGTGCACAGACATGAAGGCATCCATCAGCAAACAAACACCTTGCATTCAGTGAAGAGGGACAATGAATGTAAAAATACATACAGCAGATATAATGTATGTTATCACAGATGAGTGACATCACAGCAGCAGGTATATAAAATGTAATCCTGGTTTATGTCTAAATCCGGGTACAGACTGTATGATTTTGGGCCGTCCAATATGAAATATGATCAATAGTGACAATATCTGTGATCCTGGTACCACAACAGGGGCCAAACGTCGCTGTGAGAGGGGAGTCAAAGATGGCTGATCTCCAGTCTCGCGTCAGTGAGATCAGTAATGTTCTGAAGAAGACCCCGTTTGACACAACCCATTAGTTACCTGAGGTCATGTTTTGTTTCTGTTCATCTATTACAGTGTTATGGTCATTTGCTGTTTTATTTTGTACTTACCCTTATATCTCCTTATGCGTCCTTGTGTCGCGTCGTTCCAGCATTCTTTTCCTCATGAGTTTTTTCTAGTGTTTGAACATTGCCTGCCCCTCTTGGATTTGTTTGCTTCTGTATTTTTTGGATTACATGCGTACCGCCCTGGACCGACTGTTTAATAGACTCTGCCCTCTATTTGTATCCTGCCTGGTGTGAGCCTGCATTTTTGGGTCTTTGGCTGTCTGGTTCTGTTACTGTTGTTATCCCTTTTTTCACTGACACATCAGTATCATGTGGCGATGTCGGCCGTGGAGGGAAGAGAAAGAAAGTCCTGTTTCTACTCAGGCTCTCATTGGCTAAAGTAGCCTAAGAATGGTTAGTGGAAGATCCTGATTGGCTTAATGAGGTGTCAATCAAGAGGTCAGAGTGCATGAATCAGTACAGAGAACACAGTTGAAAATTGGGAACCGGCCTCTTAAAAACTTGAATCTACTGACATCACAAAAAGCTGATATTATTGGCTGTTTGTTGTTGATAAAACTGGTGAATGTTTATGTTAATTTTAACTTCTGTCTACCTTATTCATATACAAAGATTAAAACAAATAAATCTTTATTTTGGTCCGTGTAGTGAGAGAACGATACGACTTCTAGCTGACGTATTGGTCCTCTGCTGCAGGTGGAACAAAAGGAAGCCATGTATACAAACATGAGAAGTCGTTACTAAATTTAGGACCAGATGACATGGCAACAAGGACGTATGGATTCTCATGTTTGGCTGGAATTTACAGCCTGAAATTCATCCCCCTCTGTTCGTCCTTAGACAGCAGGCGTCCCCGCTCCATACCCCCTCCCCTGCTCCGAGTCAGAGTCTTGAACAGGTGATCTGTCCAGAGCAACCCCTCCCCCCCCTCGTGGAAAAAGATCTCAGACCAGCAGTTGAAGGCTTGCTGGGGCGAGTTGAACACTCAGCTGGACAGATATAGAAGCAACGAGTGTCCCAAACGAGCTCCAGTGAGCGTTACTCTCCTCTACTGTCACTCCTTCAAACACAAAATGGAGATTTCACTTGAGGATGAAAGCAGCGGCACATCGGCAAACTTTGAGGACAAGGCGGCTCACCAGGCTCTAAGGGATCGCTGGAAAAATACCGACGAAACCATGTGTCGCCACAGCATGTCTTTCCACCTGCACCACACGCTGAGGAGCGAGTTCTTTGCCAGCTACCTGTACCTGGTGGAGAAGATTCCTCTGGGTAAGGAGACGGGGTCACACAAGGCTCCAACCTCACACCAGCTTCACTGACAACAGGTCCATATTTACAACCTTTGTTCTGACCTTTGATCCCATTAAAGATTAGGGTTAGGGTTAGCTGAGCAAGCAAGCATGCATATGTTTACGTGTGTTTTGTTTTACGCTGATGGTGATTTTGTCTCAGGTATTCTATATGCATGAAAAATGATGCTTCTCTGCACCTGTTAAATGTCACTAACAAGAAGACTTATGAGGGCCTCAAACTTGCAGCTCAGCCAACGTCGTATCCTTAACATTTTTCAAGTCACACTTTTGTGATGAAGTCTTTCATCTGATCGTGAATACTGATTTCAAAACTCTTCACTGGAGTTTCTATAAAGATGCAGAAATGATTGTCAGAGATCTAAGCACAGCTGATTATGATCAATCATCTGAAGCTGCTTAAACCGATCGCTATGTTCACATGGAGCACTAATAACTGGAATAACTGCCTGAGCAAGATAAACCATGCATCATGTAAACACCTCTATCATAAGAGACTGATCTGAAGGGGTGGTTTGTAACATCAGATATTTGGGTCGATATCCATGTAAACACTTTGATGGTTCTTCCTGGTTGCAGTCACATTATTCTTACTGTTCATCTCCGTCCCCACGTGTCAAGTGTAGATCCAAAAACCCAATACACTGGCAGTTCTTTGTGTGCATAGAGTCACACGATTTGTTACCAATCAAATATCATCTTACATTATCATAAATAAAGATATATTTAGGTACCACACACTCGTTTTGCAGACATCCAATGCTATGTGGAGTTGTGTGATCTTGTTTACAACATTGGTAGAGTTTATTTGACTCTTTGCTATCATAACCAAACAATTATATGAGCACAGGGCACATACCTTTAAAATCTGATTCTGTGAGAGTGCTGGAGTGTAAAGTTGGTCTTCATGTATCAAGAAGTGAAACTACATTACCACATTAGCTTCATAAATGCTCTAACGATGTGCTAGTAACATAACTAGATGATTCTTTTGTCACATTTACAGAACAACTTACATTGTAAAAACATGGAACACTGATTGGAAACAAGGTTTAAAGGTCACATATGATGTAAAATACACTTCACCATGTTTCTCTAACACTAATATGTGTCTCTAGTCTGTCTACAAACCCCCCAATGATGAGAAAAGTCCATCCTCTCCGTCTTCTGCCTGCTCCACTTTTCAGAAAATGTGTGCTCAAACAGGCCGTTTGGAGATTTTCCCTTTATGACATCACAAAGGGCAGTAGCCCCTCCCCCAGGTGGGTGACATTCCCACAGCTAGGTGTTTGTTCTGCCCTCTGAGTCTGCCTTCTCACCGTAAACAATAGGACATGGAACGAGAAAGACAGAGACACCCAAATCCTTCTAGAGAGGGGGCGTGGTCAGACACAGCTCATTTACATATTTAAAGCTACAGACACAGAAACAGCCTGTTCAGATTTAATGATAAGGATATTTAGGATGGTTTTGATACTGATAAAAACTCTCTTCTTTGCAATTCCTGACGTTGTCTCCTCCTCTTTAGATCCTCGCTTATGTTGCTCTTACTCTCTGTTGTTTGTCACTTTGTATAAAAGTTTATTTTGTAGTATCCACAGTGATGAATCTGTGTCAAGTTTCTCAGGTTCATCTTAACCTAAGACATTCTTTGATTATATAGCACCATGGATCCTTCATGTTTTTACATAATACCACATAATCTGAATAGGACAAATTTGGCTCATCGCTAAATCTATAAGCTTTTGCAAGCATATGATTAGTTAATTTATCTCACTGTTTGGAGAATGAGCGTTACCTGGTGGTTTGTGTGTAAAACAAAATGAGCTATCTGAATTAACACCAAACACCACGTGCATGGAAACACCTTCCTCATCCTCTGACTTTCATTTGATTCCCAACGGGTGATAGCAACAGGTGCAGGCCAAATGCCATCAGACCCTGTTACCAATCAGAGCAACCAAACATGTGAGCTGGCAGTTTGCTGCTGGTCTTCCAAAACTAAATTATTTTGCCTTCTCTGGACCTGGAACTTGCTGATCTTGATTTAAACTTGTTGGTCTTAACCACTTCAAATTCTGAAAAACATCCTGATTGGAGAGCACAAGAGGTGGAACAAAATCCACTGTCACTGCAAAAACTAAAATCTTACAAAGTGTATTTATCTAATTTCTTATCAAACACAAATTACAAATCCAGTTTAGAATCTTATTTCAAGATGTTAAAAGCAAACATAAGGCCTGAGTTGTTTGTTGTGCCAAGAAATCAGACAAACACTCATTATTTAGCTTCAATCTCTATGGAGAAACATCTGTATGAAGATACAGCTAAAAAGTCCCTCATGTAGAGCTTTAACACTTGCAAAAAAAACTCCTGAAGTTTTCCTGCTAAGTTGCATGTGTGAACACAAACAGCTGAATGTTTCTCTCCTCACCCGGAGTTTCTCCTCCAGCGTCCTCGTATTTATTCTGCAGAAAGTCAGAGTTCAGGAGAATTCACCTCCCCCCCGGTCTGATAGGGAAAGTCTCCCTTTATGAGGTGCATGTGTGAACAACCAGATCAGGAGGATTTCAGAGGCAGTCCTCCTGAACATTTCTAGACATGTTCTGGAGTGCATATGAGAAAACGACTTAAGATGTTTTTTCCTCAACACCAACTCCTTTCTCTTTCATGACCTGCTATAGTTGAACAGAGGTGACACACAGGAAGAACGTCTCAGCTTTAAGTCCTTTAAAAGTCAACCCTGGATACACCGCTTGTATGGAGAAGTTGCCCGTAGCTTCCAGAGGAAAAATCGAAAGGTTCAGAGATCGTGATAGTCTTGATTTGTGACTTGTTTAGATTTTTTGCTGACCTTTTCTTGACTTGCGCCGGTCCATCTTGACTTTAGAGTTGCGCAGCTTGACAACATGACAAATGATGAAACTCTAACTTAATAACTTTGTAAATTAGACGCCCAAATACGCAAAACTAGCACCAAGGTGTAAAAAGTGGTGTAAAAACTAGAACGACCCTTTAACATGCAGTATTACCTAATCCTCCTCAGGCTGTGTCCTTGTCCACCAGGAGACCAAAACCTGCAGAAACAGGAGATCCTGACCTACTGGTCATTCTGACTCTAGGACGCCACTCACTCGATACAAGGCCCTTTAATGGCACGGCATGTCCAGCATGGAGGCAATAAGTCATGTCAGTCAGTGCTTACATGACAGTGAGAGGGCTGCGGTGAGATTATTTACTTGCAGCTTCAAACAGACTGACTGAAATCTAGATTTTTCTATTTTATGTCTCGATAAAGTAAACAGAGTGAACCTAAAATAAATATACTGTACAGTGTTTTTTAAAGGCGCTGGAAATAAACATTAACCCTCAGATCCTGTGTCATCCAATCAGATGTCTTCTTTGGTTACATCAAAGGTCAACGGTCAGCCTCGCCTCCTCTTCTAATGAGCTGCTTCACTTCAAAGGTGTGAGATTAAGAACATGGTGGCTCTGGAGTGACACTTCCTTGGCGGACGCCTGCGTCGTCTCGCTAGATCTAAACTTACCGTCCTCTGAAAGCCTTCTTCAGGGTTGCCAGCTCTGAGTGCTCCAATCAAACCTGATGCAAAACAAAACTCAAACATTCTTCACACAGTGGGCACGTGCCAGGAGACGGGCATCACGCGTTGCTTGTTTGCACACCTTGTTTACAGCGAGACTTCCAGGTGCTGATGGATTCAGTCCCTTTCTTGGCTGTCTTCCTCGTCCCGATGTTTCTAGTATCGAGGCGAGGGTCCAGCTGGAAATAAATCCCCCCCTCTTAATGTTTCACTTTGGTGTCACTAATTCTGCCACTGGAGATCCTCGACAAGCAGACGGACATTCCCCTATAAACCCCCCAACCCCCCCTGCCTCGGTCCCCTCCAGGCCAGGAACGTGTCATCTAAGCTTTCAGATATGTTGTGTTCAATCTGCAGGATTTATTTGAGCTCAGCAGAACGGACGCAGTGAGAGGTTGGGATGGTTTTAAGAAGCCTGCGGTTTAGTTTCTTAATAGCACAGAATTTCATTGACATCATTATGAAACAGAACAACACTGGAGTGCAACTCATCATATCACAAAGCATAACAACTGTTGTGTTTCCAGCTAAAGATTTATCCTAAAAAAGCTTAAATTTACCAGTTTTTATCAACTCATTACTGATTGGTAATCTTAGAAGCTTTGAAATGCTCAACACTGAATGAAGCCGCATGTGCTCTTAAATCCTTTAACAGCTGAGCAGAGTGCACAAGTATCATAGCACGTCTTTATTTTTAGTCTTCTGGTGATCAAATGATCATCCTACTCTTCCTTAGAGACTTAGTGGACAGCGTTCCTCTCCAGAAAGAGAAGCCCAGTGTCTCGTTGTGTCGAACGCTTGAAATAATTTGTTGGTTATTTCTTCATTACTTGCGTGAAACCGAATTCAATTTGATCATTTAAGTTTCATTTGTTGTAAGTTGGTTTGGGAATCTGTTCTAAAACTGGACTTTCATATAATATACAGAGCTTTGACCTGGAAGTTAAATACTGTTGTCTGCCTTCAGATATCACCCTAACCCCGAGGGATAGCGTGCATCATGTGCATAACTGTGGAGTCAAAAGGAATTGAGCGTACCAGACACCTCCTTATCTCCGCTGCAGATTAGAAATACATTCCTCAGAAACCAAACTGGCAACCGTGAAGTCGGGTTGTTGCAGAAGATTTGCCAAAATAAGACATTTTATAAGGTTAAAAAACGATATCACCAGAAAGGATTTACTTTCCCAAATACTGAAGATGGATGGATGGATGGATGGATGGATGGATAGATAGATGGACTGATGGATGGATGGATGGATGGATGGATGGATGTATGGATGGATGGATGGATGGATGGATGTATGGATGGATGGATAGATAGATTGGATGAATGGATGGATGGATGGATGGATGGATGGATGGATGGATGGATAGACTGATGGATGGATGGATGGATGAATGGATGGATGGATGGATGGATGGATGGATAGATAGATGGACTGATGGATGGATGGATGGATGGATGGATGGATGTATGGATGGATGGATGGATGGATGGATGTATGGATGGATGGATAGATAGATTGGATGAATGGATGGATGGATGGATGGATGGATGGATGGATGGATGGATGGATGGATGGATAGACTGATGGATGGATGGATGGATGAATGGATGGATGGATGGATGGATGGATGGATGGATGGATGGATAGATGGATGGATGGATGGATAGATGGATGGATAGATGGATAGATGGATGGATAGATGGATAGATGGCTGGATTGACGGATGGATGGATGGATGGATGGATGGTTGGATGGATGGATAAATTATCTCTGCTACAGAATTATTCAAACTGTCCCACAGCGGGGGGCCCCTGAAGAGTTGTCCAGGTCATGAGAAGACTTGAGACATCTTTACGTACCCTGACAGTCTTGTTTTCACTGACCTCTGGTGGTCAAACTTCTTAACTTGCAGTAGAAATATACAGATGTCACGAGGACACAGTGACATCACTAATATGTGTGTTTATAGGAGTAAGATAATCCCCTCTGATCACCTTCACCATAGTGGCTCAGTTCTGAGACATAATATAACATGTTTTCATGAAACCATTCTGTTCGTCTGCTCACCTGCCCTCACAGTGAAGCTGTTTCCTGTCACCTGCGAGTACATCAAAGGAGAGAAACAGTTCTACTACAGAGCTCAGAAGTTCTACGAGGACGTCCCTGCCTCCGAGGAAGGCATGATGGGAGATTTTGTGGAGATATCCAACGTTGATCTGGAGGGTTCCCGGCAGTTTCTGAAGAGGTTTGTGGTGAGTCTTGTAATCTGATGACATCTGAGAAGCTTCATTACACACTTCAGAGGCGTCTGACTGCTGAACACTGATATGTATCCACTTACACTGCTGCAGCTCACTCTATATTTACATGTCAGGATCTATTTGAGGGGAAGAATTCATCATCCTGAATGCAAATGAATTCCATCTCTTTGAATGTAGGAGGAGGCGTCGGTGTAGTTTCTAATAGTAGCTCAAACATGATGTCAGCCCCATTAACACCCAAACAGAACGAGCACAGCCGACTGATGTTAATGACTTTGTACTTTCATCCTGTTCCAGCTCCGATGTGATAACAGAGGAGTGTATTTAGGTTGGGAAATATCTTTAGTGTCGGGTATAGTTCACTGAAGGGCATTTATTTTAAAGGACTAGTTCAAGATTTGAACTTGTTTGAGATAAAAAAAAGATTGGCTCTCATGTCTCATTTGTGTGATTAAAGGGGACATATTATGAAAAATCCACTTGTACAGTGTTTGTGAACATATATTTGGGTAACCTGAGTGTTTACTGACCCACAAAATGTGAAATAAACCCATCCAGTCCTTTGTTTGAGGTCTACTTAAGTCTTACAACACAGACAAAAATGCTCCGTTTCAAATTTGCTCTCCTTGTGATGTCACAGTGGGATTGTGGGGAAAATATCCCCTAATCTCCCCTGGTATCTCCACCCATGGACTCCACCCCCAGCCTAGGGGAAATATGATGCTCGGGGCGGCCATTTTTGTTCTCGCTACAGAGGAGTGATGTCTACTGGGAAAACTCAGGGGGGAGGGGGGGGGGCTCATTGCATTTAAAGAGACACACACACCAAAACGGAGCGTTCTGAGAGAGCTGGTTTCTACAGGGTCACAAACCTCCTCTGGTACTTGATTCATGTTATATTTTGACCAAAGCACAGCACAGATGTTTCACTTGGACCACAGGGGACTGTTTGAAAAGGTGGAGAAGGGGGATGATATGTCCTCTTTAAGTCTGGCTACACACAGGACGACTTTAATCAAATTTAAACTGATTTTAAAAATGTGGGAGACCTAAGACATGAAAACCAATTTTTTACATAATAATCCTCCAAACGCTACTACTGGATGATTCGGCCAGACCCTCGGACCACACACACCTGCTGTTTATTGTAACGAATCCACAGACACGAGATCTCACAGAAACTAACGTGATCAAATGTGACTTCAGAGGAGAAACAAACATGGAGGATGATGGACTTGGACAGCTGGCTGTGTGGCTTGTCTTCATGAGACTTGTGTTTTTGCCATAGTTACACAAGCTGATCTTCTCCTTATTCTTCTTCCACTTGTCCCTGGGCTCAGCTGTGTTTATGTCCGCTGCCATGTTTTGTGAGCTGTGTACACAACATCTGGTTGGTGACGCTTCCCGGTCTGCTCGCTCTCATTGGCATTGAGAGGATTCTCTTGGAGGCAGCCTGATCAGCTGGAAGCACAATAATCAAGGAGGCTCCGACTTGATCGGAAACAGTAAAATCATCGTATTGACAGTCAGACATTAGAGAGAGAGAGAGAGAGAGTGGGGAATGACATGCGAGGAAAGGAACAAAAGGTCAGATTCCAGCTCGGTCATCAACTTTCGGAACAGTCTACCACTAGGCTACCGGTGCCACGCGTTTGAGGATAATTTGGACAATAACGGTTGCAGCAAGCCTTGAATGCCGCACCAGTCATGACACCATGACTTCTCAGCGTTTTATACTAAAAGGACCCATCCAACTTTTTAGATAAAAAAAATAGATGACAAAAGAACGTTTAAACACCAGTTTTATGGCAATCTAAAATGTATTATGAGATCTACATTTAAACTATTAAACTGCAGTCTTGTGTGAAGCATGTAAATAATCACATAAATATCCAACAACTCAAACCTTCCCTGATAATCAAGTCATTGCTTCCCTCATTACGGTGAAATCTCAGATGTCACAACATTTTCTCGCATCTCTGTGATCATGTGAGTGTGTCGCTGTGGACTGAGGCGATCTTTGAGATGTTAGGGGAGTCAGCGTGCTAATTTAAGGGAATGCTCTTTGGCCCAGGGGCGGGGTTATTTAGAGGCTCCGTTGAACAGAAGCGCTAATTATAAACTGCTAAGATTGGATGCTTTACAGAAACTGCAGACAGCTCAGAGGCTTCTTTTACACCGGTGCTCATGGATAATCAATAAGCTCTGATGAAACACAGCTCAGTAATACATGTTAAACACTACTAATGCAAAACAATGCAATCATTATTTTATTAGTGCCAGTTTTCTATTTCCAGTTCTGTTGTCGTTTATTGACGCATATTGTTTAATAGTTTGGCCAGGGCTACAACTCCACAGTATTACCTTTAATGCTGAATCTGTTGATGCATTCTGGACAAGCTGCAACTCTTTCTAGTTGAAAAATGAAGCCGATTCTGAAGTGCAGTTCCTCGAGTGTCCACTAGAGGCTGGCTGCATTCAATAAAGCCTGTTTTTACAGCAGAAATTAACATGTATGAAAAATAAAGCAAAAACTGCAATAAATTAAAAATGAAAAAATAACGGCCTTAAGCTCTCCAGGTAACGACTCCTTTTGTTGCACGTTCAATAGAAAGACTTCAAAAGATGCATTTATTCTCCCCTCATTAAGTCTGAGGTGTTTGCTTCAATTTGTCATGTTTGCATTTATTTGTAAATAATGTCCAGCCATTTAATTTAATTATTTAACCTTTATTTAACCCGGTTTGTCCCATGGAGAGTCAGAACTTTTTTCCAAGCTTGACCTGGCCAAGGCAGTCAGCAGCAAAAACACAAAGTTAATCGCAGAGACACAAACAGAGACAACATTTGCATTAAAAGAGAACCATCTATGAGTCAAAAAAAGAACTTTCTGGAAGTCAGATGTCCAACCAGGAGAGCTAAAAACATTGACATCCTGTACAATCTGCTTCAAAGGTTTTTCGTTGTAGATTTAAAAACATTTAAGGACACCAGCTCCTTGAGTTGGATTCCAGGTAACAGATCCCAGGCTGTTAGAGCAGGAATCCCAAAAAGGCCTTTCCCAGTTTCTGTCCTCGTGTTGTGTCACAGAAAACACTTTAACGCTTCACTTTGATGCAGATTCCAGATTCTTTTCCTTAAATTATTCTACAATTCCCTCACACATCATCCTGAGCAAGAACCTCCTGCTGGGTCGTAAACAGCTCCTGTTTAAACATGACATCCCCAAGTATGAAAAGATTTAGACTACATCCAGACTAAACTGAGCTACATACACATGGGGAAATATGGCAGTAATTCAGCGAACCAGGAAGCCTCCTGTAACAACCCGGAGCTCCTCGGGGCCCCATCTTTCATACAATCACACAGCGGGGGGCCCCTGAAGACGAGGGGTTGGAGTGAGGTCAGAATACCAAATGAAGAGAAAGAAAAAGCTGCATGATTCAGGAGAGGTGACTTCTTGTTCCCTCGTGGTAAAGTTCAGAGTTTCTTCACCCCTGAGGAGCCGAGGTCCTCTTGTTTCGGTCCGTCGGCGCTTTGAGGTTCAGAGGCCGGACATCTGGAAACACAAGAGAGTAAAGCACACACTCTTCTATGACTTATAGGTATGCTAATAACAAGCTGCAGGGGAAGTTTCTGTTTCTGTCAAACATAAATCCAGATCTTCTCTTTAAGGTTACCTCTTCTGAATTTGGACGTTTCTACCGATTCCCAACCGGAGACACTCGTACTGTCGAGAAAGATTGGAGAAACTAAAACCAAGGTCATGATGTTTTCTAATGCAAAAGCTAAACCATCATGTTACCCAGATCGAGCCTGTTTGGAGTTACAGATAGCTCTGTATAAAACGTTGCTGGAGAGAGGGATGTCCGCACCCGATAAGCGGAAGATAATGGATGGATGGATAAAAATAAATGATGTTTCTTTCCCCCTCTCAGGGTCCTGGTAAGGCGGGCACTCACTGTGCCCTGGACTGCGGCTGTGGGATCGGCCGTGTGTCCAAAGGCGTCCTCCTTCCTGTGTTTGAGAAAATGGAGATGGCCGACATGATGGAGCACTTCCTGCTCCACGCACACGAGGAGTACCTCGGTGACGACGCCGACCGCATTCAGACGTACTACTGCTACAACCTGCAGGACTTCACGCCTCCCAAAAACAAGTATGACGTCATCTGGATGCAGTGGGTGGCATGTGAGTATGAAAAGATGTCCGCTTAAAGTCGTTTCATACTCAGAACTAATCATGTGATGTCGTGACTATATTTATTGGGTTAATGAGTTAAAAGCAAACGGCGCTGGGGCTCAGATGTCCAAGCCAACTAAGGGTTGTTTTCACAGCGATAGATCGTTTGCTCTGGTCTGAATCATATACCACTTTGCTCCATTGTTGCATAATTACCTCAAGATTGGTTTGTGTTCACACAGGGACGTTCACAAGACGACCAAAATGTGTGATACTCAGGGAAAATGCTCCTTGATTGGTCAGAATTTCTTGCCTTAAACAAAGACTGCTGATTGGCTGTGGCTGCTCCAGAGACACTTTACAATCTCTAAATGGACAGACAATTACACAGAGTGATGTCAGCTCTGATCATCAGTTTTCATATTGTTTGCATTTACCACTGTAGGCAAACAAGACAGGTTGGTTCCAAAATGTTGATATTCTGGAGTCACACTGATCAACACAGTTCAGGAGAAGGACCATGTTAATCCTCCTGATCCAGGACCTGCTCGTCCACCCAAACTGTTTCTGAGGCTCTGTCAGGTTTGCCTGTGGTCTGTAACAAGTGTTTAGTGGTGATGAACAGAGAGGGCCACAGTGGTTACTTCCTGCAGTTAGTTCAGATCAAGGTGGTTTAATGTTCTGACCAAAAATGAACTGCACCAGAGTCTGAAAATGGAAAAATGACCCACCTTTTGAAGCGGTCTCTGTACAGTTGTTTGGTCCACACTAAAGTTTGATTGACAGCTAACACAGAGCGCAAACAGACCGAACAGACATGGCAAATGAACTGGAATTTGTTTTAACCGAACCAAACAGGTTAGGTGTGAAAAGGCCCTCATTGAACCTGGGAGGCGATGTTTAACAGGGAGGCCTACAGGTGACACAAATCAGGCGTGGAGGTGAAAATTAGAACAAGGCGCTCAATCATTCAGGCACTGGCAAGAAGTAAAGCCTCAAGGGAAAGGGAAAATGAATGATTCAAACAACATAACTGCAATGTTTGACATCCTTATCCGTCTTTCTCCTCAGGCCACCTGACAGATAAGGACCTGACCAACTTCCTGTTCCGCTGTCAGAAGAGTCTGCGTCCAAACGGAGTCATCATCATGAAGGACAATATGGCGCGGCAGGGCTGCAAGCTGGACTCCATCGACAGCAGCATCAGCCGCCACCTGGACATCATGAAGGTCATCATCGCCAAGGCCGGCCTGGAGATCCTCGCCATAGAGATGCAGGAAGGTCTCCCCGAGGTCATCATGCCCGTCTGGATGATCGCCATGAAATAGAGTGCGACATTGTAACTATGAAAAGGTTGTTCCATTTTCGACGACTTGGATGAAATGTCTACAACAACACATAAAGAAATCCTCACGGTGTCATGAGGGGACGAGTCAGTCAAAGGTTTAATCTGGAACCAAGGTTTGAAAATCCCCTGTTCCTGCCATCCTGGGTCAGGAAATCCAGTCACATTTGGTCCTGGTGCCAAAATTCACACCAACTTGGGCGCAGATAGCAAGCAGACGGCCTGGATTTAAGTCCGACTTGAAGCTCATTTCCTGCATGTCCTCACTACTCTGGCTGCCCAATGTCCAACTCTATCCACTGTCCTATCTTAATAGACCGTATTCCCACAGCGGCCATGTTGCCATGACATCACGCTCAGGGTAGGAAGCCCAAATGTTATTGTATCTTTCCACGTATTCTCAAAGTTCAAGTCATTAACGTCGCACATTTGAGCAACTTGTTTCATTTCAAAGCTTCCCGGTTGATGAGAAAGTACACAGACAGTGGATGCTGAAAATCCAGAGACACATTATGAGTTAAAAAACATGCTTGACGGGCGCCGGATAGCCTAGTGGTTATGTCAGACGCTCTGGTTAGTCCACGTAGCAGCGGTGGGTTTGAAAATGGTTTCAGCTGTTCATAACAATCTTTACAAAACAAATCCTTTAGCTGAGATGCTTTCACTCCAAGAAGTCAAAATCCAAGAGAGTGCAGTTTTCTAACTTTAAGTAAAAAATAACTCTGGCCTGTTGCCAAAAAATGACCTTAAAAAAAAGAAGTCATACTTAATAACCCGTCAGCTACCGCTAACATTAGCATTCAGCTACTTGACCGCTAACATTAGCATTCAGCTACTTGACATTTAAATTTGAGAATCTAAAAGAAAAAGTATGTGGAAATTGGGAGTGAGGCCAACGCCAAGGATCAGTAGACGGCCAAAAATGACTGTTGTTCAAATTCATCAGCGGATATCCAGAAACATATCTCGAGCTAACACCAGGTGGCGTCCTTCAGGACGGCGTGACGATCTGTTAGAGCAGGATTCTGTAAATATGAACTTCGTCTTTATGTAAGTATGTTTTATACTGTGGCTTGTAATATCGCAGTTTGATAGAAACCTAGTTTTTATATTGATTTTCTTCTCTGTTTGATGTTTAAATTCAGGCTGTGACATTTAAAAGAAGCTTTAATACTTTAATAAGTGCATGTATGTATAAACTGAAGAGAGGCTGCTTTCATAAATAAAAAAAAGAAGCCGAACTCCAAACCCATATGGATGTCGTTTTCTGACTCTTGAATGCTCTTTTCATATTTTGTGTCCCATGTTTCAAACAAAAGGCTAACAGGATTAGTGCTGGGTAATCACCGGTTGGTTATTTTAATCAAAGCTGAGACGTAAACGCCCGGATAATTTTCCTTGGAATCATTCCTTCAGCGCGGCTCGTCCACGCCCCAGAGTGGGCTCAAACGGAGCTGATCATTCAGATCCTCTCAAATCATTATGGTAATCTTCTAAGCGTTATTATTTCTTCAGGCTAACAGTAGAAGCGACGCATTGTTTCGCGCTTAATGACTTTCAGCTGGGCCCTGAGGTGGACGCTCGCTTTGATTACTTCCTGCTTTTTTGACGGACACTGCCTGCTTTCATATCGGCCCTGGCTTCACGTCAGACCTGTCACATGTTGTCTGCATAAAACACATCCAGGAGTCGCCTCAAATATTCACCGTTTTGCGTGCGTAAGCGCTCGACAGGAGTGGCTCGGAGCCGTACCCTCCCTGAGCGTTTTTTTTAATGAAAGGAGAGTTTGTGAATGAGCAGCCCTGCCACAGGCCGAGAACAAAATCATCAAAGTGGTGAAGGCACGATGGCGTGCGATGATCCCCACGCCGTGTTTCTCTCCTCTCAGAATGAACTCTTTTGAGACGTGAAAATACCAAACACATTTTCCACATCCCGTATGAATTAAAGATCAAAATGCCCCAAAGTTAAACTTGTAGATGTTTTTCTCTCTCTCTCTCTCTCTCTCTCTCTCTCTCTATGCTCCAGCAAATAGCAGCCAAATGTGCCGTCACCTTTTCAGGAGTGGTTAGCATGGCTGACAGTCAGGGCGATCGTTCTTAATGCTTCTCAATGTCTTCTGCAGCCGCTCGGCAGCAGTTTGAATACATTAGCTGGGGTGACACTAATTTGTCCCGTCACGTCAGCAGAGCAGAGCTGTGGGCTCTGAGTCCAACATGTCAGACAGCTCGCAGACACCAGGAGGAGGAGGTTTGAACACCTCGACATGCAGAGCTGCTGAGAACAGCCTGAAGCCAGAGCTCTGATTGGAGGAGAGTTTTACTAACACAGATGCTTCATATCATTTTCTCAGATTCCCCAGACTCATCTCTAACGAGCTGCGTGCACAGGCATCCTCATGGACACCTCAGTGTCTGTTTTACCATCGCAGAAAAACATACAATCTCAGAAATCACAGCATATCGACTGACATGAGTATACAAGTGCTAAGGTTTAACTTCCCGGGGCTAACATTCTAGCGTGAAAGAACTTCCCACTTGGTGCTCGGGCGGGCCGCCAAGGGATATTATATAGCTTTTTTGTTGTTGTTGTTTATCCATAACATCACCTCATGCACACGAGAGAGAGAGAGAGAGAGAGAGAGAGAGAGAGAGAATACCTCTGACCGTACGTCCTTCCTGTAAATGCTCAGATTGAGGCGCTGCACGTCTCATTTTCAAAGTTTAGCTTCTTATGCTGTCAGTCTTTTTGGATTACCCAGACTCATCCCGAACATTAACCATGAACAAGGCAGGGTAAGAGCCAGTCAAGACCCAAGACCATTAAAATATATTACTGACAAGTCCTCATGTTGTGTGCAGCGGGCGTGTGAGGGTGAGTCATTTAGACCGTAACACCGGGAAGGTTGCGTCCGTAACCGGGGGATCAAAATCAAACTACAAATGAATTGAAGTTATTTGTTCTTTTAGAAAGAAAAGTTGTCCTTCTAATCAAAGTGATGACGTGGAAAAATAGCCAATCAGTGGCGGTTTTGATTTAATATCCCGAGTCCGTCCAGTGTGAGACCGAGTCAAAATGTTCGAGATTCTGAGACCTGAGTGACCTTTGACCTTTTATCGGTAAGTTATATGTGTGCCTTGGCTAGCATCAATACTGCGGCGCCAGGCAATCCCAACTGCACAGAAAAATGCGTCTGTTGGTATTTTGGCTTCACTTTTGTGCAGTGAGCGGCGATGGAGACGCATCAGCCATCTTTGTTTCTACTTTGCGATTGTCTATAATCCAGCAGCTAGAAATTTGAGAAGTGAGAATCGAGTTTAAAAATCTGAAAGGTCCGACATTATCTTTTTCAACAAGTTTAAACTGTTTAATGTTTGGTGTCTTGAACGCTGCGGCCTCCAGGAGGTGCTAACAATGCTTGGTGTTGTTCCTCTTCGCTCTCGTGTGATGGTGCCGCCGCTCTCGCCCTCTGAGAAAAGAGAAAACAACCCGGGGGGGAAGCAGCAGAGCCGTCAGCTCAGACAGCCCGAGCTTTCATCCTCTCAGACTGAATCTTTGTGGAATCTGCAGAGGAGAGAAACCTCAGTCTGTCTCTGGAGCCTCGCTGGTTTCAAGGAGACGGAGAGAGGAGTGAGTCTAACCTCCATCCCTGGAGAGAACATCGAGCAGAAGAATGTTCCTCCTCTTCATCTGCGGTTCTCACAGTAAATCAAGTCACAGTAGAAACGAGACCTGAAGATTTTTTTGGGCTGCTTTTCCTCTGGCTGCCTGTGTGAGTTTTTTATCTACCACAGCGTGTCGTCGAGGGTCTGAGGATGTTGTGTGTGTTTCTCCCTCCTCACTGAGCTCTCCTCAGCTCTGAGGGCAGGGATTAGTTACACAGAGTTTTTAATGGCCCCGGCTCTGAACGTGCAATAATTCATCAGGTAATGTGGGTTTGGATCAGGTGCTGCTGACTCAGAGGGTTTTGATCTCTGAGCCAAACAAACGATGACAAATGTCGACATCCTGACTGCTTCAAGGCTCTAAAAGTCGATTCCAAGCCTCGGGGTTAACGTCCGCTCAGATCTGTAGAGCTGCGTTCACTCTTAAAGAAAGTGTGCCAGCGCAAGAGGAGGGATCATTTCTCTTCACTACATCGAGATTCCTGCTGAGCTTTCTCACAACAACACAAAAATAATTTCCTCCCATCAGGGGGCTGGAAGCTGGCAGGACAGGCCCATGTGTGTGTGTGTGTGTGTGTGTGTGTGTGTGTGTGTGTGTGTGTGTGTGTGTGTCTGTGATTCAGCATGACTATGATGGTGGATTGCATGCTAATGTATTCTTGTCTTTACTTGCAGGGCCAGACTAAGACGCCTCCACGATGTCAAGAGTTCATGACTTCAGTGTGTGCGTGTGCGTGTGCATTTAAATATCCAAAACAACAGTTTTGTTTGCAGCAACAGTTTTAGGACCTGTGTCCACCTAACTTTTTTTTCTGAGCGCTCGCGTCGTCTTTAAATTGTTTTCAATGAGTAGAGAGCGTTCACAGCAGACGACAGCTGCCTGGAGGAAAAGTGCAATGCCCTGCGTCTTTTTTGAAGTGCGCTCTGCCTTTCTTGTGCATCCGGCATCCCAGGAAAACGTAAGATAAAGGTTTGAGATGACACTTAAGACTCTTTAACAAATGAAGTTTGGTGGACTCGGTGCGATTCAGGGCTGAAGGTCAGGGGGGAACATAACTTTTTTTCACTTGGTTCAGTTTGATTTCACTCTGCATCATCTGGCCTAACGCTGAAGTAATATGTCGGCTGTGACCGGAGTAATTTAAACCACACTAATGTGATAATGTGGACGTTAACCTGCAAGGTGGACGGAAGGCTGGTTGTGTTAGCAATGCTAATGTTAGCCTCGCTCATCAAACCAATTTGACATTGTTTACAGATGCTATGATTAGTCGGGTTTTCTCACTAATAAATATTTTTGTTCACTTCCTTGGTTGGTATGGAGGTCGTGTTCTCACCTACGATGACCTGAACTGTGGTGCACCTGGAAGCCAACAGAGAAACTAGTTTTCAAGCGGACCAGAGTTCACTGGAGCGCCCCAAACCAGATGAACTATCGGACACACGGACCCAAACTTTGGCTTTAATGTTGAATATGTTTCCATCTCCTCAAACACATCGACCTCCTCACCTTTACTTCCACCCTCTTTATCAAGAAATACACCCCCCTCCCCCCTCCCTTTTCCAACAAACAACAAACCGATTTGAAAACACACAGCGCCACTCACAGCTGGCAACAAACAAGCGGATGATGGCATCCGTGTGTGTGTGTGCGGTAAGTGAGAGTGTGTACATTAATTCAGTGTAATTTGGAACAACAAACACCTCTTTTCATAGCAGTGAGTGAGGTTTGAGAGCAGAGCCACCCAATTAGATCTACCCACAATCCATACCCCCCTCCCCCCTCCTCTGTGTTGCCGTGGTAGCGTGTTGTCTGACAACATGTGGAGCCGCTCTCGGGGCCCCGGCGCTCTCTCTGTGCCCTTGGAAGCTCCGTCCCTCACGCTGGTTTCAATCCCGTAACCTTTCAGACGGCGGCGTAATGAGTCCAAATGGATCGCACATGCACATCA